TTCACTCTAATCTTTGTAACAGAGTTAAGAACTTCATCTTGTACCATTAGATCATGTTAGTGATCATAGGTACCTCTTTTTTTCTTTTCTTTTTGATTGCTTAGAGTGTGCGAGACACTATAAGGGGATTAATCAAGCTTGGGTTAGCTTGAATAAGTGCAAAGATTTTAACTGAGCCTGAAAAAGTTAGTTTTTGAGTTTTGGTTGATCCTGGGAAAAACCCTTGTTGAACGTTGTGGCTGAGCCTTTGAAAAGCCATTGTTGAAGGTTGACACTGAGCCTGTGAAAAGCCATTGTAAAAGCTTGGTGAAAGCTTGAGAATTTCACCGTTCATAGTGATTTGATTGAACAAACAAGGTAGTGGATGTAGGTCTTTGACTGAACCACTATAAATCTTTGTGTTTTATCTTTGCTACTTTATTCTTCATTTCATTCCTTATTATATTATTCATTAACTTGCATTTAACTTCCCATCATTGAAGTTAAATTTACCCCCAAATAGAGGTCCAATCTTGAAAGAGCCAAAAAGTGCTATTCACCCCCCTTTTAGCACATTTACTTGGGACCAACAAGTAGTATCAGAGCTTGATCCCTCATTTTTTAGGCTTAACATCCTAAGGGAGATCTAAATGGCTCTTTAAAAATCCCTAGTTGCTGAAATGTTGGATGTCATAACTGATCGACCCTTCATTCCTTCAACCATAAATGTAATGACAAATGAAATGATTCCCAAGCCAAGGCCTGAATGGAATGAAGTTGAAACCAAAAAGGTTCAGACAAATTTCAAGGCAATAAACACTTTGCATTGTGCCTTAACTCCCACTGAGCTCAACAAAGTATCAAGGTGTACCACAGCTAAAAAAGTATGGGAGAAACTTAGGATTATTCATGAAGGGACTTCTCAAGTTAAAGAGTCCAAAATAGCCCTCATAACACACAACTATGAAATGTTTAAAATGAAATCTGGTGAAGACATCACCAGCATGCTTGATAGGTTCACAAACATCACAAATAAAC